TTGGATTCTCCAAGCCCTTCGCTATGAATACTTCCTTTCCTTATAATGATCTCCCCTATGCTTTGAAAGCTTTGGTTTCTCCAATGAGCTGCATGTAAACCATGCTAATGCTTCCCTTCCATTAATTGGACATATTTAGCAGTTGATCAGTGCTTTTGATCAGCGTGAGGTGTCCTGTGCTACCAAACAGAGTAGACATAATCCAGTCAACAGCAAAAAGCACGGTGTTTTGTTAGCATCTCACCCTGTTTTGCTAAGCTTTGTGAAGGGTTGAAAACAGTTCAGGGCCCACCCTCGGCTGCTGTCTTGGGTGAGGCCAGAGAGGGCACCAGTAGCTCACGCCGCGCTCCCTGCTCTCCATGGATAGGAGCGCAGACACAGCAAGAAATGGCAAGAAATAACACAGGGAAGCACAGAATGCCATAAGCAGAAAGAATAGAATCAATTCTGGTGTCCCACAGCCCAGCTCCCTTAGGAACTGGAAGCTTGGTATTTCTTGACCAGAACCTCAGAGAAAGAAACGTGGTAGCCGAGCCCACTGGCAGATCACAGAGACCCAGCCTGGCACTTCTGTGGTTGTACCCCGTTATACTGGGGAGCAGCCAGTTCCCTGGGATAACAGTTGTGGGCAGGAGGAAAGAACATCCTCCTCTCTCTTTGAGGTCTAGATGGGAAATGCCAGGGCACTGGGATTCAAGCAGAAAAAAAATCGATTTTGATGATTAAAAAAAAAAAATAGCCTATGGATCGTTCCTTTTGTCCTCCTGCCATTTTTAACTCTATCCTTAGACCAGTCTTTTAAGAAAATGAAACACTCCATCTGAAGAGAGAAAACCTGGAAAGTTCTGGGTGCTGGTCTCTTACTTTCAGGAGATCAGAGCTAAATGGATATGTAAACAACTGCCCAGGTCCCTGCTGTCCTTTTGATAACCTCAGCTCCCCTTTCAAAGCTAGGAGTGGCTCTGACCATCCCAGCCCCCCAGGGGAGGCTCCCCCCACTCCCAGCCACCTTGAGAAGGTCAGGAAAATTGGAGTTGCCCTCTGAAGCTAGGGACGCGAGACTTAGAACTTAGACGGATCTCTTTTCATTAAGCAGTGCCCTGGCTTAACAAGCAGTTTTATAAATCTGAAGCTGTCTCCGGGTGTCGCAGGATTTATAGATGGAGGTTTCTGCCATAAAGTGGTTTATGATGGCTGCCTTCTGTGTTATTAGTAGCTGTCTCTTCCTTCAACTATTGCTGTTTGATAATAGCCTTAAAACACCCAGAATTACTTACCTGCAAGCCCCATTCCCAATAGCCCTTGTTGACAGTCTGAATAAGTTTACTGCCCTTTTGTTGTACTTTACCTTCAAAACAAACTGATTGAACCATCAATAGCTCGTGGAAGCTGACAGAGGGATGTCATCTGGACTAGCCCTTGTGATTGCAGGTTATCTGGGGGAGTTAACCTTCCCGCATTGTTAACTGAAATGTTTTATGTACTATGCAACTTTAGGATACGGCTGTGATAACCCCAGTAACTAAGTAATACATCACAGTAAAGAGATTTTGGTGCAACAAATAACCCCGGATTAAATTTACAAGGGTTGAATTGATATTGTAAAAAGCCTTCATTCTGTAGCTTTGGGAATCCTCTCTTGTATTTTTATGGCAAACTTGTATTCTGCTCAGAATTGAAGCGGCAGCTTCTGACATGCTGGCATGACCTAGAACAAAGGGAAATAGATATTTCCAGGACCCGGATGGGACAGGCAAGCAGGGAGTCCACTGACTTACCACTTGGCAATTATGTTGGGAGCCAGCTGCAAGCCACCAAAGGGCAGGAAGATCTGGGAGACCCTGCCACAGCCTGGGCTCTGTGGACTGCTGACTTTGGGGCAGGGCAGACTGCTAGCAGAACCAGGAAGGAGACCCTTGGCTGCCTCCCAACGCATATAATTCCAAAATGATTATTCCTCATGGTGTTATTTTCACCAGGACATTGGTTCTCTGCAGGAAAGTAGCATCAGCATCACCTGGGAAGTTATTGGAAACATAAATTCTAGGCCCTACTCCAGACCTGAATGAGAAACCCAATGCTATTGTCTGCTCCAGGGTGAGAACCCCTGCGCTAGAATATAAGCTCATTGCAAGCAAAGCCCTTCCTTTTGTTTGTCACTTTCCTCTCAACACCTCGTACAGTTCTTGCCAGGTGGTAGGTGCTCAGTAATTATTTGTCGCATGTGTGAGTTAGTGCACAAAGGAGATGTCACTAAGAGGGCACTGAGGACCCCGGGCTCAGACTGAGCCTGGGAGCAAGTCTTCCTAGTGTCCCTCAAACCTCTCTAAGAGGTGACATCCTTGAAACCCAGTCTAGCACTCAAGATGGAACCCGAGTCACCTCAAGTCTCCCAGGCATCTGGCAGCTGTGCCAGGGGCTGTCTCGTCGGTTGTACCGGAAGAGCACCTTGGAAACAGCAACTCTTTGTCATCTAAAATTTTTAACTAGCTTAAAAGCCAGCACCTCTCTATCTTTCTCCTTTGTTTTTAGGGCTGTGATCCAAAGTGAGGTGAAATGACAATGTGCGGTCTGTTATCATCGCGGTTCCTGCCAGCCCCGTGAAGGCATCTTTCACTCCATCATTAAACATTGGCTGATTTTCTAATACCGATGTTGTCTTCACCTGAATATTCATCTTTTCCCACCCTACACTTAGTGGGTGTCTTTACTCCTTTGAGCGTCACTCCTGACATTGTTTCTGTCTGTACTTGTCTTTATTTGAAAGAATCTTGTCATCAAGACTTTGCTGCTACGAACAGAAGATGGAGGCTTTCTCTGACAGTTTGAGGCCGGTGGGAATTCTAGGAGGGGATAGAAAGGACATTCAGGCCTTTTTTAGCATCTGCCTGATTTTGAATAATATTAGAGAGCATTTGGGGAAGTAAGGGGGAAGCCTAAGGAGAGGCAGGAAAGAGGGTATTGGGTGGAAGCTAGGAAGGAAGCGGAAAGTAGATAGAGTCCGATTCCAGGACCGTGGGCTTGGGGTGGACGGCACTGGTGAGGAAAAGTGTACCTCAAAGGAGTTTGAGTACGTTGACCTTGACAGAGAATAATATGAAGGGTTATTGGGTGGCCCTGAACTGTTCTACCTGGCTTTTGAGTGATCAGCCTAATTTTTTACACGGACAAGCAGATGAAGGCCAAACTTGGTGATGTAAGATCACCATCCCATGAACACAGGAAGTGGCCCTGGGGACCCTAGGCTCCAGTGAGGAGAGCGCAATGTGCACCCCAGGTAATCTCTGCACTGCAAAAGAGCTAAATGCTTGGGGTCACATTTGGGTTTGGTTCTTTGAGGCTTGTTCATGATTTTCTCTTCCTCCTTTTCCCCTTAGTTATTCCATGAGTAATGGAGGTCCTTCTTCTCTGCTCCAATAACTATTTTGTGCATAAACTCTGGCACTTAATTACACCAATTTCTAATCTGCCTTTGTGGATGTGTCTTCTCATTCTGCTAAGAACCCCTCTGAAGGTAGGAACCGTGTCATCATCACCACTGTATGACATGGTAGGAGCTCAAGAAATATTTGTGTAACTGAAATGAACGGGTATGTTACTAAGTCCTTCTAATGCAAGTTTCCAGGCTGTGGTCAGGGCAAAGAAAACTTTCCCTGTCTTCAAGAAGCTGAGAGTTTAGGCAAGCACATCAACTGAGCACTAAGAAAGTCGAAACTAGCAAAGAGATGAGACGGTGTTGCCACTGTATTCTAGGAGTGCTAATAAGAAAGAAAATAAGACAAGCTAGAGATGTAGAAGAAATTTTCATGGAGCTTGAGTCTTGCAAGATGAGTGCATATGGAGCAGGCTTAGGTGGGAAGCAAGTGACAGATTCCCTTGGAGAATCCATGGCTCTCCATGCTAGGTATCCATCTCTTCTTCCTAAGCAAGATAGGACCTAGGCGATCACGTGTGTGATTGGTGGAGGTAACAAAGCAGAGATAGACAGGTGCCTGTACCTTTTCTATATTTATTATATGTTTATAAACCTATACCCTGGCCAAGTGCATCTTCCTGCCATTCCATGTACACATACCTGCCTGAGGACAGTTCGTTATTCCTATGGACATGGGATAGTCCCTGGAGTCTATAATAAGCATCGAAGAGTCTCCCAAAGGGAATGGAGATCACTCAGCATTTGTTAAACTATTAATGCCCCCTAGAAACCAACTCCTCTTATTTGTCCTTGATGGAGAAAATCTTACTGCCACGGTGGAAATAATGCAGTTATGATGATTACAGAAAAGCCCTCAAGATCTGTGCTTGAGTCCTTGAGGAGGCATTGCTCAGTCACATGTGTTCCCTCCTTCTACTCCAAAGCCATCTAGGTTACAGAGATCTAGTTCTTTGTCCTCCGTGACAAAACAGAGGCCTGCTGAGACGAGAGTCAGACAGGCATCTTAAAGGAATAATAGGGACATAAATGGTCCAATCAAAGTGTAGGTTAATTTTCCTGGGAACTTCCTGTGTAGGGAAAAAGCTGGGCCTGTTTTCCAGAATAGGAGAACACACTGCTGGAGTTTTACTGGCTGACCTAGGTGCGTATGTGGGTGTGTGTAGGGGAGATATGTACCTTTGAGTCTAGTGCAGCCATTATTGTATGTTTCTAAAGTTTAGCTGATTGTGTAAATACAACCACTCAAGCTTCCCCCCAAAAGAATTATTTGTCATTTTGAGACAGGGTTTTGTTATGTCATTCAGGCCTTGAACTCACTTTGTAGCCCAGGCTGGCCACAAGCTTGCAGTGATCCTCCTGCCTCAGCCTCCCCAGTGCTGGCATTACAGGCATGTGCCACCTTGCCCGGCCTATCGTTCATTCTCTGTAACAGAAGAGCAGTGACTCGGCAGCCAAGATCTAGACCCCTGGGGAGGTGCTGCAGTGGTATAGATTCCTAGGGGTCAGGCAGATTGCCGGGATATTTGGGGCTGCCATCACAACCTTGTTTCTCCCTCTTTTCCAGATGCTTTGTTCTGCATAAGCTGCCTAGGTTGAAGTTTTTGGATGCCCAGAAAGTAACTAGACAAGAACGAGAGGAGGCATTGGTCAGAGGGGCCTTCATGAAGGTGGTGAAGCCCAAGGTGAGCTGCCTAATCCATGATATAGATGAGGAACTGATACCTCATGACCCTGGTTACTCTTCAGAGCATGGGAACCTCCTCCTGTGTGTCTAGAATGCAAGTGGGATCTCACAGCCCTGATTCAGCCATGCAGATACCCTGTGGACCTCACAGGAAGCAGGACTGGGTATGAAATGGGTCTTCCTGTGACCCAGGCTAAGAGGACGTCATTCATTAGGAGGTCTCACCTGATAAAACAGCGCCATACACAGCTCTGAGGGTTAATTTCAGGCCTCCTCAATGATGTTTCCAGAGTGGGGCGTCCAGAGGTCTGGAGCTGAGACAGGAGAAAGCATTGGGCGTTTCCTGCTTCTCCAGTGGGTAGCATTCCTCTTCAGCAGGGCCTGCCTCTTCTTTCCTATAACCGAAGGAGATCTGGAGAGAGTACTTTTCTTCCATCACAGATGAGAGCTCTGCAGCTCCCTGAGATAACATTAGCACAGACACCAGTGGTTCCTGACATTGTGTCCCGGGCTTGGTCTGGGCTCCCCACATGTAACTCTCCAGAGCTCATTGGAATGGTGTTTACAGCCTTTCCTTTACAGCTGCATCTGCAAGGGGGCCATGCACAAAAAGTGGTGTCATCCTAATGGCAGCCGTGACGAGGCAGGGGAGACTTGGCTGGGGGTCTTGGATTCAGACACACGGATGTTTTTAAGGATATACACAACTATCTCTTTGGGAAGAGTTGGAGGCCTTCAGCAAAGCCGGAGGCTGGGGAATACACTCAGTGACCTCCGCTGACCCCTTGGAGAACTGTCACTGCCCTGGGCTCTGTGGAGCTACACAGTTACCTCCCATGAGACTGCAGCTTGTGTGTTGAAAACGCTGGCACAGAAATGCTAGAGGTCTAGTTTGTCCTCACTTAGTGACTTATAGCGCTCGGTACAAGCATTGGAAGTGATGAAGGGAGGAAAAGAAAACACAAACAAAACCCAAACAGAGCAGAACAATGAAACCTCTTCCATCAAGTCGCTCGGCTGGCAGCGGACCCGAGGCCTCTTTTTTCTTCCCCCCTGAATCCATGAGGTGCAACTGATTTCCTGTTATGCTGAATAAAATTGCTAACAGTTGTGGAAATATATGATACGGAGGGTATAATACTGGCAGATAAATGTATTGTTACCTGTTTCAGCATGTGGGAAATTAATTGAGTGATTCATTTTGTAGCTATTAAAGTGTTAACAGTTCTCCTGATTGAAGCCCAGCTTTGACATATTGCACATGACTGCCTTTTGTTAGTCTAGCTTTTGTAATTTTGTCCAAATGAAAGAATTTATTTCTTGGCCTTTTTTTCCCCCCTCCCTTGCCTTTTCCCTTCCTTCATTTCTTTTTTTTTTTTGGTGAAAATATTGCAGAGACAGCTGACATCACCAAACCCAGCAAAGCACAACTACTGAACTCTGTAATATCTTGGGTTTCAACCTGCCCCTCCGCACTCCCCACCTTCAAGTGGACGCTGTACCGAGTAGATCAATATTTCTCCTGCCTTTGTTTGCCTTTGGCATGGGAAGGGCTACATGAGCATTGGAAACTGGAAAGAGTAATACACACAATGTCCTCTGTACTTGGACAGACTACTCAATACGTGCCTACGACTGTACTCTCCCAAGGTTCTTTACCTACGGATTTGTGAATCCTCACATAACCCTGTAAGGTAGGAGGAAAGGGTCATTGGCTCACTTTATAGATGAAGGAACTCAGGCCTGAATAAGCTCACTGGACCCAGGTCACCTCACTAGAACCTGCAAGATACGGGGTTTCATCTGTGTGTCTAACTGTGGAGCCTCAGCTCCTCATACTCTACTTTTGTACCTCTGAAACAGTGAGTGAAATACAATCCCTGTGGATCTTTTTGTTCAAACCAAACCTCACAGGAAGACAGAAATGAAGAGTGTGGGGAAATACAACTGTTCTGTCAAATAGGGATAGAAGGAGCTGGACTCTTCCCTTGACTTTGAAATGCCTGGGAATGGCTCCTTAGCATCCACCATGAGTCATTAGCAACAGCAGTAGAAATGCTCTTCGGAGTTCCCAATTAGTTCCCAATCAATTATAGAATTAGCTCATGTTTGCGTGATTGACTCTAACATCCTCGCTAACTGTATTAAGCTTAAAAATGCTCATTAATTAGAGGAAAGAGACAAACATACTCTTACCAAGCGCAGGAACCATAGGTTCTCTTTTGTGGAGCCACATGATTTCCAAGCTGGATAAGACTTCAGAAATCACTTGCTCTGGTCTCTGGTTTTGTGGATGGGGCAACTAGGTGAGGGTACAGTGTCACGGGTCCCCCCAGTCCTGGTGAGGTGCAACGGGGGCCAGAGCCAGGGGTCTTGGGCTTCTGGTTTGGTGTCCTATTTATGCCAAGAGAGCAAAAGAGGAATCTGGTGTGTTATTGGTTTGGTATCACACTGAATGCCTCTCTTGATAACCCTCGTTTGTTGATTTAGGAGATATGCTTTGGTCATTTTCTTGCAAGCAGTAGAAGGCGGCCAAATGAGCTCCTTGCTGAATTAATAAACTGGCATTCAAAAGGCTGCTTTCCGCCTGTTCACAGTGTGTACAGACGGCTGTTTGTTCCTGCGCAGGTGTGTATATTCCCTCCCTGTCTGTGTATATATACATATATATGCAGTGGGAGGTATGTGTACACCGAGAGGCGGCTTCTAAGTGGAGAGCAATTTCCTTTCCGTGAATTGCCGGCTCTATGCTGAGTCCACGTGGCAAAGAGCTGTTTTTCATAAGGAATCGGAGTCTCAGGTTGGCTTCTGTCCCCTCTGAGGCCGTGGGGGCCTGTTGTGCTTATTCAGCAGAAGGAACTGACGGATGATCAAGGGGCATGATTTGGGGAGCTGTTTTCATTTTATTCCTGACATAAAGTATTTGGGAGAATGGAAAATACCTTTCCAATCGCAGCCTTTGCCTTGGAGGTAGGGAACGGGCAGTCTGGGTGTTCTCTGCTGACGCAAATGCAAAATCTGCCAGGAACTAATAAACCCTCCCGTGTCACTAAGGTTTGATTTGGGACCTGGCAGGCCCTGGCGCCTGAGAGGAGCTCTCTCTCCTTCTCTCTCCTGATGACATGCTTTCTTTCCTCCTTTGCTGCCTTTTGGCTTTTGTTGTTTAAAACCTGCCTTCTGTCTGAGCTCTGATTGTTCTAGAGAAAAGAACACTGTCATTCATTAGGAAGTGATAGCTAATATGACAATGGGCTCTTCCAGACTCTGTGTCTGTGTGTTTTAGTTAATGGACCTGCAACATCTAGGATTTGCTCACTTCCCAGAATTTTAAAAAAACTATATAGCTTTGCCATATATCAGCCATTGAATCATGGCATTGTCAATACAGAGAGCATCATGCTGGGTATAGGGAAGGCTGAGGTCCCCAAGTAAAGGCATCCATAATGACCAGACCTTGACCCCCCTGGCTGCACAAGAAATGCAGATCAAAGGAGTGTCAAGGCCATCCAGGTGGATGTGTGTGGCAGGCACACTGGCCCTGCACATCAGAGACACACAGCTCCAAACTCCGACAGTCAGAATTGCTTAATTATGTCCTGGCTTTGTAATTATTCATCCCTGTTCTGGCAAAGAGCACAGTTGTCATTTCTTTGACATAATTATTTAAAGCTGAGCCCTCTTGTTTACAGGCCTGTATACAAAGTTGGCTACCAACATTTAATCTTCAGAATCTTACAGAAACCAGGAGAGCGCAACCAGGTGTTGGCTGGCCCACGCATCACAGTGATATTAGACAGTGTTCTGGAATGTGTGTTTTCGTTTGCATTAGTGACTATTCTCCTATGGGTAGGGTGCAGTGACACATAGGATTGTGAGTGTTAATGTCTTTTTGAAAATAAGTCCCAACTTCCTTTATGTGGTCATACCTTGGTTCCCCATCATGTATGGCTTGAATGTTTGTACAGTTTTGTGTAGCTGGTGTATTTGTGTGTGTATATCATTGGGTATTGAGAAGGGTGTTCTATGTTGTGTGTGTGTGTGTGTGTGTGTGTGTGTGTGTGTGTAAGATGGAGTAGGGGTAGAGAGAGGGGGATAAAGGAGAAAGACAGGAAGAGAAGAGGAGACATGAGGTGTTAAAGGAGTAAGCTTTGGGGTATACACACCCGCTGAAAATCTTTGATTCTCATCCTTATACCGAAAGTTGAAAGTTATTGGGTCTGAAGTTCACCTGCTCCTAAGATGATACTACAGAGCTCTGCTCCTGACACTTGGAGTTAGGCCCTAATTCCCCTGTGTACCTTGAGTTTCTCCCATCTTGGTCTGTGTTTGGAGATTTCCATGAACAAGGCAACCTAGCGCGCTGACAGGGAGAGGAACTGCAGAGAAGCCGGCCCACCGTTGGGATGCGGGTGCTGTTCCTCACTAGGATGCTTGCTCCATCAGAGCAGGCACTTGACCTATTTTGTTTCCTTCCTTCTCCCCAGTGCTTGGTCCATAGCAGAGGCTCAGTCAGTACCCACCAAAAGAATGAACCACAAACAACAGTACTTCTTGGGAGATCCATGATGAAAGCGTGCACCCATTTTAATTGTTTCAGCACGATCATTGGAAAAGACAGGAAAGACATCATTGTGTTCAGATAAATTGAACCTGTGCACTCGCAGAAAAGGCAGATTGTGGATTGCAGAATTGTTCTACAGGTTTCCCCTGGAGATCATTTGTGGTGGGAAAACTATGGCTGCTGGGATCCCTATTCCTTGGCTTTTCTGTAGGTAGCTCTGTGGGACCAAAGTGTGGTCTGTGGGACCAAAGTCCTGCTTGTCTCAGAGCCCATCCACTCATAGCAGGGCTTTAAAAACTAAGCACTTTTCTCAGGAAATGTGTTTGGGGCCTCTATAAGTCTGTTTATAGTTAAGATGACATGTTCCCTTCTTAGAGCCTATTGTTTTTTAACTGACCCTGAAGGAGTACTACTAACTAGCAACTTGCTTGGTTGAC